AAGACGAAAGAAACTGCAAAAAAGCATCTAAATAAGATATTAAATGATGTTGAATTGGATGCTCTCCTAAATGGTCCAAAAAGGCTTGAAGAAATAGATCAAAAATTATCTAAATGTATGTATTATAATGTTTATTTCGTTTGCTCAATTAATATTTCAATCATTAATATTAATCTATCATTATAGTAGGTGGTGGAAAATGATAACAATCGAGAGATAATATGAACTAATAAAAGGAAACATTGGGTAATGATATTACAAACATTTATTTGCTGTTTTTACTGTATTTATTGTAAATTTTATTTTATTGTATTATTTGAATCAAGTTATAGCATATTGTATCAATAATTACTCGGTACTTTATAAGTTCTATCTTTATATAGTCACTTAAAAACAATAATTTATGTGAGATGAACTCGGAGATACATCTTTTTATTAAATTTCGTGATAAATAAAGTAGTTTCTTTATAAGTTCTATCTTTATATAGTCACTTAAAAATAATAATTTATGCGAGATGAACACGGAGATACATCTTTTTATTAAATTTCTTGATAAATGAAGTAGTTTCTTTATAAGTTCTATCTTTATATAGTCACCTAAAAACAATGATTTATGCGAGATGAACACGAAGATACATCTTTTTATTAAATTTCGTGATAAATAAAGTAGTTTCTTTGTATAGCTTCTTTATTCATCTTAATGTTTGTCAATCGCGCACTATTTATTTGTGATAAGCAGGGCAGGGCAGGCGTGGTCAATTTTTCCGAATCATGTGATGTAAATCATATGGGCGGAAATTTTTAGTGGAGTGCTGTGACTATATAAAATTAGGTGATATAACAAAGTGATAGGTCATTTTGGGTAATCTACTACTCAAAAACTGATAAGTAACGGATCAGTCCAGGATTATTTTTAGCTGATCTGTTCGGTACACTAACCATAAAAACTGATAAGTAACTGATAAGTAACTCATAAGCAATGCATGAGCAATTTTACAATCACCGACAAATAATCACTTTTAATCTTAGTAATCACACTGTATTATATAATATGGGGCACTTAAAGATCACTGAACCCAGTGATCATCACATCACGTGAAATCATACAATTACGTCATTTGTTTACTAGCACTAACAAAATCGTACTATCACCTACCCTAACACTAACCCTAAATTAGGCCGAATGATTTACCATGTGATGTGATTATCACGAATATATCACTGAGTTCAGTGATCTTTAATCTACCCTATAATATTATTGGCTCAAATTCTATTTAATCTCATCATTCAACTTATCTAATCACAAAATTGAAGATTTCCGCCCATATGTCTTTGCAAAATTATCAAACTACCGCTACTGTAGATTAGCAGATCGACCAAAATTTAGGGTCGGAATAGGCCAAAATTGATAAATTTCTCCAAATCACCCAAAATTTTACTAATAAAATGATAACACACGTATAGTGAGCTAGTATTATTATTAATGCCGGCCTAGCTCCGGGCCTATTCCGACCCGAAATTTTGGTCGATCTGCTGAATTTTGGTTGCTCCACTAATCTATCCGTAGATAGCTGCGCGACGTCATCGCGCAAGCCCAGGAATGGAAAATCTAAAAAAAGAGCAAAATATTAAATGTGTGTATTATAACAAACAAATTTAAAATTAAGCTTATAAATTATAGGTATTATTGTGGTTTGTAAAATAATATATCTTTGACCAAATTCATAGATCGCAACTTATCTATACAAACGACTGTTGCCCGATTGCAAAAAAATCATGTATAAGCACGAATCATCCAGGGAAGTCATAAAAACGCAGTGACGTAGTCATGGCGCAGCCGGACTAAAATTGCGTTAGGTTCTACTAATGAAACCACAGCCGCCCCATTAAGTAAAAATATTCATGAATCAATTTTATTATGAAGGATGCTAAATTTTTCTTTTTGCATTAAAAAATTTTTCATCAGCCTAAATTATGTTAATATTTTAATGCAGGCCAACTGTCTAATTACGTCCAAAAATTTTTCGATTATCCTTAGTGTTCCGCAGAACCGAACCGAAGACCCGGAACCGACCCCCGGTTCGAATCCGGGTCCGTTATTTTTTGAAAAATTCGGTTCCGGGTCTTTAGTTGGACTCGAACCGAAGTCAAATAAACGCATTGTATTTCGGGTCTTTCGGGTCGGTTCCGGGTTTTTTCGGTTCCGGGACCCTATTTGGACTCGACCCGATTTTTCGGTTCGGGTCCGGATCCTTAAAGAACCCGCCCGGAACCGGTCCGTGCGGAACACTATCCTTAGTGATGGGCAAATCGAAGATTTTTTGAATTTACTGCGCAGGCTGCGCAGCCTGCACAGCCTGCTCCCTCTAGGAGTCTAGGGTTCATGATTACGTATATATAAAACATCTACTTCATATGTATAAAGTTAGACTCCCATTATTTTTTGTTAGTGCTTCAAGGTCAGTTTAAACATCAGTTTTCGAGTTTTGCATTTTTTTCACTAGTTCCTTCACATAAATTTTGACTATTTTTTAAACCTTTTAGCGAAGTTTTCTCAACAACCACCTGATAAATTTCGATAAAAAAAATTTTTTATTTGAATTCTACTAGTTAGTAGAATTCTGATAAAAAAAAGTTTCATGGAAATTTATCAGGTTATTATCAAGGAAACCTTAGTTCAAAGTTTGAAAAATTTAGGCGAACCATTTTCAAACCTTTAAGCGAAGCTTTCTCGACAACCACCTGATAAATTTCAATGAAATTTTTTTTATTTGAATCAAACAATTTTTCCTTGAAGCTGATTAAGTGATTGCCATTCAAAGTTTTAAAAAATAATCAGAATTTATGAAGGATCTCTTCACGTGAATTGGAAGAGGAACCAATCGTTAATAATTCTGGTCAAATTTGCAGATCATTTGGCCAGATCTAAAACAAACCAATTTTAAATGTGGTCAAATGATCTGCAAGTTTGACCAGAATTATGAACTAATCAGGT